TTTTTTTTTTGTTCGAAGTGAGAAAAATAATATCAGGTAAATATTTTGATAGGATTTTTTGAGAGCGTTACTTGAGATGGCATTGATGGAATGTGCTTTTGACTGCTGTTTGCAGTGTTTATGTGCAAAGAATTTGAGCTATCTGCAGAAACATTGAATTGTTGAACGTATCGTAACGGTTTTCTGACAATGCGAGTGAGTTGAGCAAATTGAGGGATGAATCCATTTTATGCATATCGATTGTCGCAAATGCATTTTGCTGCTAGCAACAGCTGGAATTTTATTTCACTGTGTTTGCGTGAAATGTATGTATGCAGGCAGATGGAACGAACCATCGATATCATCTGCTTGTTGTAGAGCAGAGCGCATTCTTCAGTTTTCATTTTTAATTGTTGACGACAGCTTGATGATCTGCTAAAAGTGGACTGGAGTGGAGTCAATTTCGCTTCATCAATTTGATGCAGTCACATTCCCAGAATGATCGAAATCACATGGAATGGACTGGTTCTTAGCGCTATAGCACTCGATTAGTTCATAACACATGCTGTGCGATGAGCCATTCGTGGTTTTTATTCAATAATCATATGATAGCAGTAATAAGATTAGTGGGTGATAAGCATTGTGTTGAGTAATGTTGCATCTTTAAATGATTATTTCGATCATTCTGTTGGTGCAAAGTTGATTTTGTGATGCTTTTTAGAAACGTCTATCAGGCTTATAATGGTTGTGCTGAGCTTTTTATGCGTTTTTAGTTTATGAGTAAGCAGTTCATTTCATTGATGGGCCAGATTTAGAGTCGTTCATAAGATCTTTGATGTGCTCATGATTCAAGGGAATGTCTCTCTCGCTCTCTCTGGAACTTGTTTTGTTCTGAACTCCTCGTTAAGTTGCCACTTGAAAGTTTGTTGTTCTGTTTCATAAACAAATTATTCCCTTGAATCTGTTGAAAAATGCAACAATTGATCAGAACCATAAGCAAAAGTTGTTTTTTCTTATGAATTATCCAAAAATATACGAATTATCCAAAAAAATGAATTATCCAAAAATAAACGCATATCACAATATGCGTGTTTTTTTGGATAATCTATAAGAAAAGTGTTCATTTTTTGTGTTCATTTCATTTGTTCAAAGAAATGTTCAATTTTTTGCATTATCGTTAATTAGTTCAATTTGTTAGTTGTTTCTTTTTTTACTTGCAATTAGATATTTCTTTCGCTGTGTTCCTTCACACTTTTCCTATGAACACATCGCTGCTGGATGTAATTGCATTTGGATTATGCAACGGTTTCGTTGTTCAACGTCATTTTCTTCATCTTTTTACGTTTATATTCGATTAGTCGAAAAAAACTCATCGAAGATAGATTCTTTTCAACAATTTTATTGAGATTCAGTAAAAATTCAGTGTATTCCTTGCACATTCGTAATTTGTGCATAGAAAAGAGTCATGGAAAATTCAGTTATTGTAATTTGTCTTACGAATTGAAGGTCCTTTTTTGCACAAGTTTAGATGATTGTGAACTGAGCCAGTCTCGTTGCTCTGCCTTTCTTGGTGCAAAATTAATGAACATAAGGATTATACGTTGAGAGTTTTTTTCATTTTTTCCAACAATCCTGCTGTCGTAATGCATGAAATGTGATGTTTCGAAACGATTCCGAATAATCAATGAAGTCAGAGCAGCAGAACATTAAATGGGGATATATAGTTGGAATCATTATTGTGACAAAAAAATGTCATCGCAAACGGAGATTATAGAACTAGGAGAGAAATTAAGGTTGTTGTGACATTTGATGAAATGATTTTTGATGTGAACAGTCAAATTATTAATAAAACTCATTCACACATATTACTGCACATGATCATACTAAAATGACATTCGTATGAAATTTCTGTTTCAGCATGAAATTACTTTGAAATTATCCATTTGACGGAAATTTTCGTTTCAAAATGATTTCTGAAGTGTTTTTGTTTCGTGACGAATGTGCAATAGCGAGTGCAGTTTATTCGGTGAAATAGATTCGCAGTGAAAAGGTGCGCTCGACTGGAAACGAAATAAATCACATAGAAAACAGATGGCTATCGTTATGGTTTGTTTTTTCGCAAAATGAGGCATCATTAGCACGATTGTTAGTATAAACTAACTATCGTCATATGGAATTTTCTCGATCATATGGTAATTTCTTCAGTTTAATTCAGTCGTAGAGTGCAACTTTAATTTGCAAAATCTGTTCTACGAGCAAGCTTTTGCAATGGAATCGGTTTAGTTGCGTACTGGAACCATATGTTATGTTAGCGTATGTTTAATATGGTACGAGTGTGTTGCAATTAGTGAACTTTTAAAACAGTTAATAGTTGTAATGTGGGGAATCTGAGAGATTTATGAAAGTTTTCGGTGGGGTGTGCGATTACGAGGGAGTTTTTCGAAAATGTTTAAGGAAATGTTTGCAGTTTCAAGAGCTATTTTGGTAGAAAACTAAGTTCAATAGTCATGATTCTTTGTGTAGCAAATTTGGTTTATGTTCGCTTGATTTGTTGTTGTGATTGTCCTCATTGTTACTGAATAATTTCATAGCAATCAATTTGTTGTTTTCAATGTATTTTCGGTGAAAAAAAAAGACACGCCTTTCACACTTTTGCACATTAGTATTGTGAAGTGCGAAACACAACCGAAACTAGCGATAATGCTTGTGTGAAGAACTTGAGTCGGTGCTCGGAAGGTCTTATGATGGCTTTAATCATAAGTCTTTCAGTTCGATTGTTTTCGACTTTGTTGCGCATTTTATTTCCGACTTGGCTTTGCTTTTGAATGCTTTGATTTATTTTTACGATGCCTCTTTTATCATTGGTTTTGAGTTGTCATGCAATTTAGATTTTGAGTTTTTGACGAATTATCGATCAGCGCATTAGAAGGTAAGTTATATTCCTTAAGCTGCGGCGAGCGATCCATAATGGACATAAGGCATGGCACATCACTTTGGATGGTTTGCACTTCAGTGCTGCATTATTTATCCTAATGTCTAATTAGTTTCAGTAGTCCATTTCTCACATTATGATGTTGTGATTCATCTTTCGAGAAACGAACTGCAGTCTGATTTCAATGAACGAGTGTTATGTGCTGTTTTTTGTCAGTCACCACTCAACCTCTGTGTAATCGTACACTTCATCATTGGCAATTACGGTGTTTTTATGCAGATTTCAGGAAGTTGAATACAACCAAAGATTATAATTGCTATCGTTATTGCTTGATCGAAAGCGTAATATCATTGTTGTTATCAGCGCATTCTATCTGTGTTTCAACAACACGTATCGAAACGAAACGAACGAAACTTTGCTCGCAACGAATAGTGAAAATTGGCGAAGAGAAAACGATATTCCAGGAGCCAGGTATTTGTTGTTAGCAGAAGATATTATTGGATCGAATCGCAATAGAGCAACGAAATTTGCGCACTAATCGATCCAATCCTTAGAAAGCAACTAAGAAGCCGTCGTCACCATTCTGCTTGTGTGATATATTCTATCGAAACACTTCCATATATTCACTCAGCCGTTCTCCATATTCCATCTGCTTGCTTGTTTGTACACAATGGATTATGTTGAGAAGAAAATCGATTCGCTGTTGCGTCGAGTCAGTAGTAAGAGCCGTCGTCGAGCAGCCCGTCGAGCCGCTCGGCGTGCAGCTTCCAATAAAAGTGCTGACGAGAACTCTAAGAGTTCAAGTTCAGGAAGCGAAACTCCCGAAGAATGTGCTGCTGCTGCAAGTGATAGATCAAGTAGTAGTCAGAATGCGAAATGTGGCGATCGAAAATCGCTTGGCAATCGACGATTTCTGCCATTGCGTAAGGTGTCGAGCTCTACCAAATTACCAACAACTCAAAATTCCACTTTGTCTACTCCAAAATCACCAAATGACAAAAGTGTTCGTTCCACATCTCAACACCTGCCGGCTTCATCGCAGCGAAACGATATTCTCATCAAGATTGCTTTGCTAAGCAACCACCAGAACAGCCTACAGTATTTGCATATATGGATTATCATATCACTTTACAAACTTCAACAAGCCTTTCTAACGCTTTTACGTCTTAGAAGCATTCGAACCATCAGATTATCCGACAATGAGATAACAAATGAAATTGCGACATGTAAAAAGCTGATCAGTGCAGATCAATCTGGTTCAGTAGTTATTCCTCATCTGTCTGCAAACACTTCATCTGATATATTCGAAGAGGATAAGCTTCTAAGTCAGAGAAAATATACGAAACGTTGTGAATCAGAAGATGCAGACTATACATCAGATCACTCAATACCGATCCGTCAGCGTAACAGTAAATCGATTAATGAGTTGGACATGTCAATGGACGAATCCGTAGCCGAATCAGTAGGTCGAGAAAGTGGCTATATGTCAGGAATAGAATTGTCATTCTTGAATCGTGGCAGTTCATCGGGCGGCGAATCTCCGGCGTTGTCACCACGAGGCTTCAGTTTCGGTCGAGAGAGACCGCTGATCATGGGACGTCCTCAACTGAAGCTCTCAAAAGCATCGTTCCAAGCCGAACGAATCTTTCAATCAGAAGATGCTTCGGTTGAGAAGCAATTGCCGCTTTCAAAACCTATTCTATCAGTTGAATATCCGATGAAAAGTGAACGAAAGGAGTCTAGTGATGGGGATGTGGTGTGTGCGGTGCCAGATTATGAGACAACAGAGGTGATGTTGAAATCAGCGATAACTGAAACGAAATACGTCACTGCGATATTCGAAGTGACTGAAGGAGGCTTGCACGATATTCTTGATGATGTCATTAATGAATTCAACAGGTGGTTTAATGCACACATTGGACTGATGGGGATTGCTTGTGAGATACACTGGTCGTGCCCGAACAAGCATCGTAATCGTATGTCGGAGAGAAGGTGAGGGATTGCATGCACATCATCAGCATTCACATTCATTTTTTCAATATCAGTTAGACCGTCAGTTAGAGCCTTTGGATATGCTTGTATCCATCGAAATTGCTTGAATATCCCTTTGTCACTTTGATACTCTTGGAAACCACAGACTGTTGTTACCTCGAATAGTTGACTTGTTTGACCTTG